GTTTTATCAGTACTCATCTTTTATTTACTAAGGCTACTTAAGCGAATTGTTTAAGTTATTCATCTATTTTCGAGCCCGATATCAAATATGGAATGGGCAAGTGAAGCAAGAAGAGCTTTATGGCAAGCTTATCCCCCGGCCAATTTACAAATGCAAATTTGTCATTCCCTTTTGGTTCTATATCCATTATTTTGTGGAGTTCTGCACATTAATTGGAAACATAAATAGAAGAACCAAGCGCCAAGTGCCTAATAGCATTCGAACCTAATAATGGTACGTATAAATGACCAGAGCGGCCACTCTGGTTGCTGACATGTCCCAGCGTAATGAGCCACGTCTCCATCTTTCAGTGACTCATTTCTCCTAAATGGCATTGGCAATGTACAGTTATTAGAAATCTCTCTGGACCTAGTGCCGTTTCTGGCTAGTGCATGGTACACAGAGATTCCAATGTTGATCACTTTCAGGTATTTTAAATGGCAATGCTCAGATGCTCGGTTAGCTATCGAATGCATGCCTTGAAAATATATTCTATTATGTGACCGTACTTCATGCTCTTCTAAAAAGTTCGTATCTACCCGCAGCATTGGCCGTGTGACCAGCCCCATCAATGAGCTTTGGCACTTTCGGCATCCTTTGGAGGTTCTTCAAAGACATCCTGACAGCATGGCCAAATTGCGAAACAAGGTATGGCCACACCCACACTAAGTTGGTTAAAGTACTAAAAGCTCTACCTATCCAACTACTAATGCCACTTCAGTAGGCTGTCAAGTTTATTGCAAAATGTTTGTTTGCCTCTCAATAGAAAAGTAATGTGAATAGTGACTGTCATTTAACTCAATGGGACTGATTCCGTTGCGTATGAACTTCCAGTCGCTCAACTCGAATTCCATATTTCCCAGTAAATGCTTACTTCTAGATTGTCAAGGGGTACAGATTAAATTCGAGCTCAAGCAGAAACTCATTAGTGCTATCGACGATGGTATGTGTGCCTTCGTCCAGAAACCGGTGGTGTTTTGTCGAGTCCTGTGTGCGTGTGTGTGTTTTATATGGTTAAAGCGCGCCTTTTAGTCACATACAAAAGCCTCAGACGGCCCGGCCGTCTTGCTTTCGCCTCTTCATCTCATGTCCTTAGAAAACAACATGACCACAAACCGTCAATCACAAGGGTCTACTGGAAGAAGGGGTGCGAGACGGAGGCTCGAAAACAGGGCCGCAGATGGGGCTGGTCGTCAAGGCGACATGAAGGGGGTCTCGACAACCTGCGCAGACTAGGCTGTGAGTGAGGGTGGAGGAGAAAGGACAAGGCCACGACGACGGCGCTGGTAAATGATCCCTTGTCTCATTATGCTCGGCCTCAGGAAGCAGGCCAGCCCCAGGGGGACCTTGATGAGGCGTGATCGACGCAGCCTCGATCCGAGTGATTGACGACTGCCTTGGAGAACTTGTGCCTGGGCGTTGAGCATGGGACGTTTAAAGCGGGCAGACGAACTGGTATGTGACTTTGGCGCTTAGTGTGTGGCAGATGAGCAGGGCTGAAATGCGACTGATGGAATGAAGCGTATGTGTGAATTTTCTCTGTGCGTGTGCGTGTGTGTGTGTGTGTGTGTATGTGTGTTTGTGTATTCGCCTGGGATGGTTGGCCGTAGTGACAACTTGAGGAAGGGAACTGGGAGGGCTTGGGAAGCGAAGACCGAGGTGGCAGGAAAGAAGTCGGGGCGTGCAAGATGGGTCAACTTTGTGCATTGCATACACGATGAAGTCGCGGTTTTTCGTGGGTTTGTGGGCTATGGAGCGACTGTCAGGACATGATGAGGTGGAGTGTAATGAAGTGGACGGTGTGAGACAAGTAGGACTGGGCTTGGCCGATGAGTGGGCAAGCCTACAAGAGGTCGGCCCAGGTTTGCCCATCCAATCACAGGCAAAAGTTCATTTTAAGTCAGGGCTAATTTGGGAAATAAATGTTTATGCCTAAAGACCATTCTCACGTACGAGACCATTTGATTTTCTTCCTTTAGATCTTAAATGAACGCGGCATTTTCTCGGTCAAAGGACGAAGATGACGGTCAGTGTTTGCGATTATTTGGGCTAGTCCCATCTCTCAATTGAGCCAATCAGGTGGCTGGGTGGGACCGAACACGTCCTTGTGAGCTGCGGATAATCTCGAAGGCCTCCACACGTCCCCAGAGTCTTTGGCTACATAAAATCCGGCACGGATAAAGAGGCGATTCCTTCTACTCGTCGAGTCGGAAAGTTGTTGCGCGATGGATGAATTGGGCTCGGCAGTTGTAATTTTTCAGTGCAAAAACAAGCCTCAACGCAGTACATACGCAGGAATGTTTAGATTTCGAAGAATATCTTCTGAAAATAGTGTACAACTTACAAAGTATTGGAATGTTCATGGGGGAAAAGTTTAGATAATTGGACGACTTTAGTGGTTGATTTAAGTAAAACGCAATCAAGATTACGTAATTCACTTGAGCACCTTCTCTGGAAAAGATCTCATTTTGTAGTGAAACTATGCAACAGTGACCAACAGTTTATCTACCCTTAATAAAAACGAGGATATGCAAGAGCAGTGATTCCTTTCTTATGCTTCATAACCGTCTAATTCTAATGCATACCCTCAAAAAAAGACGAGATCCCAAAATGTGGAACCAAACATGCATCGATGAAGATATAAATAATTGACACCTATACGATGTAATCGGGTAATATGAATTCACTTTTATCACTGGGCAAATGACAA